AGTGCTCGTCAATAGCTTTTACCAAGGTATCTAGAATTCGCTCCAAGTAGTCTTTGACGGTGTGGTCAATCCTCGGGTTCACGTCGAAGAAGGTAGATCGTAGGATGTCGGTGAAGCCATATTCGTCCCAAGTTATGCCGTAGTCAGTTGCCGGATCTGCCATTCATGGATGATTGAAGGTAGAAACTTCTCAGCACTTGGTACGCCTCTTGAGTGGTGGCAAAGAGAAAGAAGCTTCTCGTGCAAGTGGAGAGGAAGCAAGATCCAAGTCTCTTTCCCACAAATCTGAAAACAGTTTCAGATTTTGATCCAAAAATCTGAGAGAAATTTCATATTTTAGGAATAGGAGTTGGGGAATTGGAGGGAGGAAACTTAAGGCAACAAATCACTTGAAGTATTAAAGAGGGAGAGGGGCGGGTAGGATAGAGAGGCCTGCGGGTTCTAGAGGAGGTGAGGATTTAAAGTTAATTCCAAATAGGAGAGAGGAGTTTTGGAAAGAAATTAATTAAGTGGGGCATGGGGAATTTCGGCCAAGGGAGGGATTAGGAGATTTGGAAATATTTCCTACGAGAAGTGAGAGCTTTAGGAAACAAATCCAAGGGGTTTTAATATTTGTGTGGGGTGGGGTGGGGGCGGCATGATGGGACTAGGGGGATTTAAAATTAGGTGTCGTGCTTGCCTAAATTAGGTTTTGGGATTAGGAAAGTAATCAATTAAATTCAATTTGAATTTGAATTTCAAAGAGTTTTAATTTAAGAACTTTCCTAAAATAAAATTGGTAATTTAGGAAAGTTTTAAAATTCAAATTGTCTGAATTTGAATTCCAAAAATCTGTCCAAACTTATACCAATCCAATTTAGGCAAGGGAAAACAATGGAGGGGAGCTAGGGCTGGCGGTATGAAGGCTCGGGTGGGGTCTTGGCCGTGGAATTAGAAGGGGGTATAGGGGCTCGGGTGAGGGGTTTGGGAAGTGGATTGACGGGGTTTTGGGGTGGGGAGGAGGGGCTCGGGTGGGGAAGAAGGTTGGCGGCTTAGATGGAGGGGAGAGTCAAGGTAATCAAACATGATAACAAACCACAAACCCGGCCGTCTCCAAGGTTGGTGGGTGGTGCGCAAACCTCCCTCTCATAGGGATCTCTCTCCATCAAACACTCAAACTCTCACAAAAACTCATGCAAGAAGAATATTTCATAATCAATCATTCCTTAGCTCAAAACAAAAGACATGAGGCTATAAATAGCCGAGTACAAAGACTCAATAAAAATAAAAGACCAACTTGCCCTTTGGGCTCACACACGACAATTCCCACTAAAGGGGCACAAACAGAAATAACAAAATAACACTAAGCAAATAGAAAAATACATGAATAATAGAATAACATAAATGACTCAGAAATACAAAGACTCGATCGCAGCCGTAGATCGGCGGCCACACCTCTGATAAACCTTCCACGAGCTGATGTCCCCATCAAAGTCCTTCCCCTCCAAGCATAAAGCTACTGTCATGAGTCTCTCCTCTTCTGCCAGTCCATTCATTGCAAAGTATCTCTCCACCCTATAGATCCACCTATGAGCACCTTCCCCCTAAAAAATGGGCATCTTTAATTTTCTCACTCTCGGATCCCCTCCACCCCAACTTCCTCTTCTACCTCCGGCTCCTCCCATGTAGCAATTGTTGTGATCTCTCCATTGTTCTCTCCCACCCTCTTCCTTTCATAAATATCTTCTTCCTAAAAATAAGTCCTTTTTATTCCTTTCAATTTCTCCTCATGTTATATCCTTCACCCATTTCCCTCATGGTTGTTGGTTTAAGAGGTGGCATATTTTTCCTGTCACCCAAGATTTCTACCTCTCGATCATCATTCACTTCCTTGGCCACCTGCCGGTGCCCTTGCCTCCGATTTTACCGGTTAGGTGTGAAGCTCCAATAGTTTCTTCATCATGTCCTCTATGTCAAAAAACATTCCTTCTATGGATGAAATCCTTTCCTCAACTTAAGATTTGAATTGACCAACTTCTCCTTCTAGTTTCTCTTCCAAAGCATCCCCTTTCTTTGGCGCCATTGGTCCCGAATCTTGCTTTGATACCAATTTGATAAGACTTGATGATCAGAACAACACAACAATATAAAGAAACCGCAACTTTCTCCAAATAGATCCAAAAATAACACAAGAAAGAAGTAAAGAACATATAGTGCCGAAAGGTTAACAATCACAATTCCTAGCAACTACTAGGAACTCCAATACCTTACAAAAACTGCTGCAGAAATTTAAAACACAATATAAAATCTAACCGTCCATAATCTCCCTCCTTAAACAACCCAAATCCCCTAATAAATGCTCCTCACATCTTTCCCAAAGAGCTTCCCGCTTCCCCCAAAAGACTCTTCACCTATAGGTGATAATAAAGGAGGTAAAAAAAAAAAAAGGAGGTCATGGGCCCCACCTAGACAGCTGGGCTGCTGCCAGCTGCATCAGAATATTTTTGGTTCTATTTTCTGATTGATCAAGTCATCAGATTATCATGTCCAGTATTAAAATTTAGTCTCAATTCTATAAAGATGTTCTGTTGTTGTCTTTTTGCTGCAATTCTTTATAAACAAAACGGAGTTTTTGTAACAATCCATTACACTTACCTATTTTCATGCTCTAGATTGACTAAGCCGCAGAAATTTATCTTCTAGATTGCCTTAGTATCATTCGTGAATCATTAACTTGGCACGTCTTAAAAGAACTTTCACATCTTTTGTACTGTTTCATGCATCCTCAGATTGATGCATATCTGTGGTTCTTTGAATCTAATTGTCCAAGTCTTTGCATTCTTTTCTTCTAAATTTTTGTTCCAAATGCTGTCAATCATCATTAGATCTTTACTAGATTTCATCAATACTGAGTTAAAAAATTCTTATCCCACAAATTGTGGCAAGAAATATTATTTTCAATCGGAGCAATAGGACCGTTGTGGTTTTACCCTGAGCAGACATCAAAATGAACTCCCACTAAAAATTGATCTAAAATTGCAACAGTAGGATAGGTCTGATGAGAGAGATTCCTACTATGACCTTGATGAGTTCATTTAAGGAAAAACAAATTTATGGGAAAGATTAAATCATGTGATAAGAAATTGAAAACTGGAGTGCCCGAGGATTCAGTCCCTGAATGAGTACTAGGCTTGGGTTCCTTGCATGTGTTAGTTGAAATATTTAGTGCTGGAAATCAAGAGCAAGTGGATGGAGTACTAGAATTGTGAGGCAAATTGTATTTATTAACATATAATAGGGGTGTCAATTATTGACCCGATCTGATAACCTGACCCCAAAAATCTAGGTTCTAGTCGATTCGTTTAATAAACGGGTTGGGTTCGGATTTCAATTTATGACACGTTTAAAAAATCGAGGTGGGTCCGGGTCAACCCGCTAATCAGAATTTGACCCGAGCATCAGCTGCTCACCCACCTTGCATAGGCATAGGCTCCACCGCATCCGCCGCTCTGCATCTGCACAGGCAGGGTAGCCGCGCTCCCATCTCCCATGCGCGGGTCACCCTGACTCACGTCGCCCACGTTAACTTCGCCCAATAGGCCCGCAGCGTGCGCTCGCTCCTGGCCCTCGCCCGCTCTCCCTCGTGGTCCGCATCCTCACCTTCGCCCATGTGGCCCTCACCCTTGCTCGCTTGCAGCTTGTTCGCAACGCGGGTTAGTGTGTCGGGTCAACCCGATTATTCAACGGGTCGGATTTGGGTTCAAATTCTTGACCCGTTATCTAATCAAATCGGGTTTGGGTTGGATTAGTTGAAAGCGTGTCTATTTCGGGTTGGACCAGAACCCGACCTAAAAACCCATTTTGACACTCCTAACATATAATTTTAACTAATACGATCAAGGATCATAATTTGGATTTTGGACATAATCATGTGATAAGAAATTGAAAACCGGAGTGCCCAAGGATTGTCGGTGAATGAATGCTAGGTTTGGGTTCCTTGCATATGTTAGGTGAAAGATTGAATGCTGGAAATCTAGAGCAAGAGGATGGAATACTGGAATTGCGTGTCATAGATTATATTTATTGACATATAATTTTGACTAATACGATCGAGGATAATAATTTGGACATATCCAGAGCTCTTAAAAGATGGAATTTTTTTAATGTAATGGGGAATAATAGGTCAGCGTGATGATGGGACTTGCAAGTCCATTGTACCCTCAAGCCAACTTCGATGGTCTTCACCTTCCCCTAGTGCCATCTCTCTTATCCTATCTCTCTCTTTCTCTCTCTCTCTCTAAAATGGTTGTTGCCCAAGGGCCAGTCACTAATGACCTCGAAGCTTGTTCGATCACCATGAAGCTAACAAAAAATTTAACAGGGTTTCGACCTTACAAAATTTTCTTAGATAAGAGATAATCAACAACTAAGAACATATTGCTTGGACAAAGAGAAGTTCAAAGCTAGAAATTCCCACCACTTTGCAAAAACCCCCAAAGATGGTGAAGTGATTATTGTCAAATGTCTTATTTAGAGAAAAACTTCTACTTGTATTAATATTTTATATTTTAAATTTATTTTTAAATATAATAATAAAAATATTATTATTATTTTATTATTTATTGCACATTCTGATGATCCGATTAGGAGAGTAGATATATTAAATTTCATCTATGTTAAGAAAGTTAGAGGCAGATCTAAAAAGACTTGGTTAGAAAATTTTAAAAATGATATATATTTTTTAGATTTAAATTAAAATTTGACTCTTAGCATAATACAATAGAGAAAAAGGATTTATGTAGCTGATCCCACGTAGTGGGATAAAGGTTTGATGTTGTTGTTGTAGTATGTAATATTGCACCTTTATATTTCCTTCTTTATGCATGTTTTTCTTCTTTTCAACCTTTGCCTTAATTTGCTTTGCATAAAGAACAGTTCCATCTTAACCCACAAGTAACTGTAATTGCGGGCTTTTTTACTTTTGAGATTTATTTTCATAAAATTTGCAACCTCAACTGTAGGTATATTCCTTTGTTGCGGGAAACATTTACATTTCCACAGAGCTTAGGCATCATGGGCGGGAAGCCTGGTGCTTCAACTTACATAGTTGGTGTTCAAGATGACAAAGCATTCTACCTTGATCCTCATGAAGTCCAACCGGTATAAATTACTAGTATTTGAATTTGTTTACTAGTCCATCAGGAATTAACTTTGAAACCTTCTGCTTGGATGCTCTTAATTAAAATTACCATTTTTGGCACATATTAGATTTTTTGAAATTAAACCAAATAGATAAAAGTTGAATAAGGAAAGTTTTGTTGTCCAAAATGAGAAAAATTCTATCATTTATTCATTGCAGAAATCTACTAATGTCTTCTGCTTCTTTGTTTCTTTTGATGGAATTCACTTCACATGTTGTCAAATAATGCGAATTAACATCTCTTCTACTACTGATTTGTTGATAGTGATTTTTGGGTTGTAAGAACAAGACATAAGTTATGCTTTTAATTCTATTTTGTAAGACTTTCAATGTAAGAATTTCAACTCAGCTGCACCTGCGACTGTTATAATTTCTGATATCTTAGAATGAATTATGTTGAAGTTGATTTCTTAGCTGCACCTGCGACTGTTATATGAATGTGTTAGCTTATTTTTGCATGTAATTTTTTGCTTTATTCATCTAGTCGAGCTCTCTCTTTCTCTTTCTCTTTCTGTGTGTGTGTACAGTTATCATACCATTTACCTTATATTTTCCTCTGAATGGGCTTTGATCAACTCAAATTTAAGATCAATAAGCTAACCAAGCAAGCATTATTTCACAATGAAAAACAGGTTGTTGATATCAAAGCAAATAATTTGGAGGCCGATACTTCTTCATATCACTGCAGGTGCATCATTATAGATTTACGTACATATCACCCTATACTATTCTATTTACATATTTAACATCTAAAACTTTAATATTATATACATACCATCCATAGGTCATTCTCATATCAAATATGAGTGGTAGAAATGAAATATATGAGTGGTAGGAAGGAAATATGAGTGTCATATTTGATATTAAAATAATATAGGATGGTATGTATGTAATTTTAAAATTTTGTGCGTTAGATATATAAATAAGATGGTATAATGTATGCAAATCTCCCTTTTATTTTATTATGGCTCTGATTTTCATTCCTATTATTGCCTCTTACCCTTTTGTTGCCTTTCAGCACCGTACGCAATATGCCTCTTGACTCAATCGACCCATCTCTGGCCATTGGTTTTTATTGTAGGGACAAAGGTTTGCTAATTCAACTAGCCATATCTTAATCTTTCTTTTTAAAGACAATCTTTGTTGTATTTTTTGCTTAAGCTCCATCGCAAGGCCTAAACTACCATTATTATTATTGAATTCTTGCAGATGACTTCATAGATTTCTGTTGTCGCGCATCAGTGCTTGCAGAAAGATCTAATGGCGCTCCACTTTTTACTGTAGCTAAGTCTTTTGAGAACATAAAATCTAAGCACAATATTGGTTCTTTATCTGGCAGGTTAGGTGATATTGCAGCTAAAAATAGTAGTAGAGAGGAAAATAATTCTGCTCTGGAAAAGTTATGCGAGTATGATGGGGAGGATGGTGAAGATGATTGGCAGGTTCTTTAGAAGAGCAGGACATAAGCAGGCATGTATATTATTGTTGTTTGGATTATTTGCTGGTATTTACTGGCTTGTTCTTCCTTCCTTTTTCTAAAGTATTCATTCTTTATGTTGTGTAGATGTGATCATATTACATGTGAATAAAGTTGAATTATTTGCTATTTATTTCTTGCTAACAGAGTCAAGTCTCATGGTTATGTGGAATATGGTTGCCTTCTGCCCACATGTAGGTCGAGAGCTTAGACTATCAATCAAGTGATCTTGAATTTAGAGCACTCATATATTTGAAGAATTTATAACTCTACCTAACGATTGATGTTGACATCGATGGTCTCTTGACGATTATCTCTCATTCATTATCACCTGATGTCAATTGATACTGTCCCTAGCTGTCCTAGCTGTCACTTCATTTTCTCTCCCAAAATCTTGTTCATCGTCGTCCAATAGATAAATTATTATGTGTGGTCACCAAACGGTCTAGAGATGAATCAGAACGCGCCATATCATCAGGCACCAAGTGGTACATAGTAGCTGTATGCATCAAAAAAATGATGTGGCATGTTCTAATTCGTCTATGAACGATGTTTGGTAACCGCATAGAATAATTTCTCCATCTAATGATCTTATCCTAACCATTATCGATAACGATCAACTGATGTTGACAATCATTATCACTCGATCGCCTTGTTGATTGTCAATCAGCACTCACATTCATAACCTCATTATTTTCCCCATATTTTCACTCCTTTCACAAAAGTCTAAGCCAAAAATCTTGAGAATATCATCCTACCTTCTCCAGTTAGAGTTAATGACATATTTCTATAATATTCACCTTCATGCATAATTGAATATTTCATTATGATTTTTTACTTAACTCTAATTTTTTAAAATTTTTGGTATTTTTATAAGTTTCATTTATTTTTGTTAAATTTTGGTATTTTTGGAATTCAATGTTAGGTCATGAGTTTGAAGGATTACTTAATTCTTTTTGGTCTGTTGGTTAGAGTTTTTAGCTACTAATTAAGAGATTTTGGGAAGTTTGTGCATGTGATGCGCGTGTGTGAGTTTATTTTAATGGCTCAAATGTAAATAATAAAAAATGTTTGAAGGATTTGAACCACGCTCACTAATTTCTCATGGCTTGCTCTAATCATCTGATTATTAGATCTTAATTTCAGCTCCACTCAACTCGATATAATAATAAAAAAATTAATTAGGATCATAAGCTAATCAATGCATTGAAGCAGTTAGATATCTATTTATGTAAAAAACTTTTATATTTATTTTTATTTATTTATATAATACAATAATTTTAATTAAAATTTAAAAATTTATAATAAAAGTAAATAAGATTAATCATTGATCTATTTATTTATTTATTTATATTTAGTAAAATGCACATTTATTATTTAATAAATAGCTCTGATAAGATTTCATGACTTATTTATTTGAGAACTCTTTCAGTTGTCTTACAACAATGTTTTTTATTTTAGTATATATATAATTAGATATATGATTAAAATTATTATTTATTAAATATATTAAAACGCTTACAGCTTGGATATTAATTAAACAACTTGAAATATATAAATTAAATTATCTAATAATTAAAAATATATATATTTAAATTGTTAATATCAAATATATAATATATTTGGCAGTACAAAAAAGCTTAACTCAAAACTCAATTTCATGAATCCCAATCAATTCATTTATTATGAAAAAAGAAACACTAATTAACTATTATAATAAAATGACCAAAAGACTTAAAAATTAAAGCATAAATAATAAGAAAGCATTTCCTATTTAATAAATAAATGATATTTTTTGTCTTTTTCAAAACTCAGTACTTAAACTGGTCCGACTCAGCCCAAATTTAAGTCCATCAAATCCATCTAACAGTTATTTATTGAGCAAAACTCAAAACACTCCCTCACTCTCGCTCGAACTACCCACCGATGTTTAACTTGATTGATGGGCGAGTGCGGTTGGGAACCCCCCAACCCGTGCTCGATTCCCTCTGGTGGCAACGCCCCTCTAGGGGGGACCCAATAAGTGCGAGCCACGAATAGTTATAGGCGTGGGTTGCTCGTCTAGATCAACCGAGGAAACTAGTGGACATCGCCAAGCGCGTCACAAGCTGATGTAGTAGCATATTGATAATCCCGTTCCAAAAAAAAATTACAGAACTAAACTCACCGTTGCTTAGCTTGTTGGTGGGCAAGTGCAGTTAAAAACCCCCAATTCATGATCGAATCCCCTCAAGCGGCAGCGCCTTTTTAGTGGAGTACAATTAAATGCGGGCTAATAGTTTTCTAATGTGCGTGCCTCTTTTAGATCAGCCGAGTATTACTCACGGCGACAAGCACCCTCCCACCCATTCCTCAAAAAAAAAAAATACAAAATTAAATAAATTTATTCGTTCAACTTCTCGTCGAAATCCTCTTTCTCCGCGCTCTGATTATCGTCGAGCCATTCCAACGCCTCCTTCAGAGCGGCGTCGATATTCTCCTTCTCCTCGCTCTCGATTTTGTCGGCGAGCTTATCCTTGTCGTTAATGGTGTTCTTCATGTTGTACACATAGGTCTCCAGTTGGTTCCTGGCATCAATCCTGTCTTTCACCTTCTTGTCTTCCTCGGCGAACTCCTCGGCTTCCTTAACCATTCGTTCAATCTCTTCTTGGCTGAGACGGCCTTTGTCGTTGGTGATGGTGATCTTCTCCGATCGGCCGGTGCCTTTGTCCTCAGCCTTAACGTTGAGGATGCCATTAGCGTCGACCTCGAATGTGACTTCGATTTGAGGGGTTCCTCTGTTGCAGCAGAAGATATGTTTTATTCATTAGGACGATTGTAAACTAAAGGCTTCCGCTTTCTTGCTACTAAAAAGCTGCTTTAAGAAGCAGTAAAAAAGCCAACACAAACGAAGCCTAAGTTGCTGAAATTGCAGAAAGGTTTCAAGAAATGAACCTGGGTGCAGGTGGGATTCCACTGAGATCAAACTTTCCAAGACTCCTGCAGTCCTTGGTGAGACTCCTCTCACCCTCAAAAACCTGTTTCAAGGAAAAATTTTTAGAGGATTTTTTTACCGAAAACTCATTTTACATGCTAAAATGTAGTAAAACTTCAAAATGATATAATTCATCTCCAATAGAACTTCATTTCTCTCCTATTTCTCACGCTTTTCTCCCCTTTTTTCCCGCTCTTTTTTGGCAAATTCGCAGTGAGGATTTTTTAGAGTGGGTGAACAGTACGACGTCAGCATTGTTCATCTATCGAATTTTGGCGTGTGATTAAGAATTCGAATGCAGCGAATGGGTGACGGCATATGATGGTATACAATTCAGTCGGAGATGATCTATAAATTTTACTCATTTTTGGAATTGAGTAAAAGCTTCTTTTTTTTTAAATAAATGATGGATGAAGTTCGATATTTTAAGATGAGTGGTGTGTTCTACTTCTACACATTTTCAACATTCTAATTTTTTTAAAAAATATTTCATTATTTAGAATCATCTTCTATTTTTCATAATAAAAATGCCAGCTAATGAGCTGACTCAAATTTGTAGATGAGCACAAGCTCAAATTTAAACTCAATTAATTAGTCAAATTCAAGTTGAGGTTGAGAGTGACTTAGCATGAATAGTCTCATTAAATCCTTGGTTGCAATTTTAAAAAAATCACGATAATATATTCACAAGTAGGAGAGATTATTGTGTGCGGACACCGGACGGGAGAATCCTCTGTCTACAGTGAAAGTGCAGTCAAAGGGCATTTACTGTAGTATTGACTGTACTTTTATCGTAGACAGAGGAAAACCGGACGGTTCTTACCCGTCCGGCGTCCGCACACAATAAAAAGTCCAAAAGTATGGGTTTTTTTGTGATGGAAAAAAAAAAACTCGCTTGCAAAACTCGGTTGTAATCACTACTGGACAATTATGCGTCAAAACAAAGGAAGAAAATAGGCAAAAAAAAAATCAGTGGGAGGCAAAATGGCAATATAATTTATACCTGGATGGAGACGGTAGTCTGCTGATCCTGGTAGGTGGTGAAAACCTGAGATTTCTTCGTTGGAATGACGGTGTTTCTCGGAATCAGCTTGGTCATGACACCACCCACAGTCTCAATACCAAGCGTAAGTGGAGCCACATCAAGCAGGAGAATATCTGGAAAGAAACTCAACAGAAAAATTAGAATTCAAAGTTTCTGAACTTTAAATTTTCGATCTTGGATTCTTAAAAATGATATATACCTTTGGTCTCATCGCCGCCTTCTCCACTTAGAATACTTCCCTGTACAGCAGCACCAAACGCAACTGCTTCATCAGGGTTCACTCCCTTGTTTGGCTCCTTGCCATCGAAGTAATCCTTCAAAAGCTGCTGAACTTTAGGAATCCTGGTGCTTCCACCAACAAGAACGATTTCATCTATTTGATGCTTCTCAAGGCTGGCATCTTCCATGGCCTTCTTAACAGGTCCCATGGTCTTCCTGAACAGGTCATTGTTCAATTCTTCAAATCTGGCACGGGTCAAAGGCTCGGAGAAATCAACGCCATCGTATAGGGCTTCAATCTCAACGCGAACTTGGTGCTGGTTGCTCAAGGCTCTCTTGGCCCGCTCTGCTTCCCTTCTCAGCTTGCCCAGAGCGCGATTGTCCTTGCTGATGTCCTTACCGTGCTTTTTCTTGATCAATTTGATGAAGTACTCCATGATTCTCTGGTCGAAATCCTCACCTAAAAGATAAGTTAAATCAACCAATTTCAATCCAGTACAAAAATGACTTCTATGCATATATGTTGAATTAGGAAAAGTATGGTACCTCCAAGATGGGTGTCACCATTTGTAGCTAGGACTTCAAAAACTCCATTATCAATGGTCAAGATGCTCACATCAAAAGTGCCACCACCTAGGTCAAACACAAGAATGTTCTTCTCTCCACCTTTCTTATCCAGGCCATAGGCAATGGCTGCAGCAGTTGGTTCATTGATAATTCTCGCAACATTCAGGCCTGCGATTACTCCTGCATCCTTCGTTGCTTGTCTCTGAGCATCGTTGAAGTAAGCTGAACCATGGAAATTTAATAATCAGATAATGGAGTGCCTCAAAACAAAACAGGTTAGCAAAGCAGCAATAATAAAGTGTGAGCTCCTGTCACCTGGAACAGTAACAACAGCATCCTTAATTTTCTTCCCAAGGTATGCCTCAGCTGTCTCTTTCATCTTCGTCAAAATCATGGCACTGATTTCCTCGGGACTAAATACTTTAGTTTCGCCATCCTTGATCTTGACCTCGATATAAGGTTTACCATCCTTGTTCACAATCTTGTAGGGAACAAGTTTCATGTCCTTCTGCACCTCCTTATCCTCAAACCTGTACATGAAGAAGTAAATAATTTAAACTTCGTGGATTGGAAGGAAGGAACTGATCCATCAAAGATAGTACATAAAGGATAAGATAGCAAACTCACTTCCTTCCAATAAGTCTTTTGACATCAAAAACAGTTCTTTCAGCATTCACAGCTGCTTGGTTCTTAGCAGCTTCACCAATCAACCTCTCGTTGTCAGTGAAAGCTACCCAGGAAGGAGTAATACGGTTACCTTGGTCATTTGCTATAATTTCTACATGACCATTCTTGTAGACACCAACACATGAATAAGTGGTGCCAAGATCAATCCCAATGACCGTTCCCAACTTGGAGGCTTCCTCCTTAGCAATTGAGAATGCAAATAAACAACCTGCAAAAAACCATTTTAACATTATTTTTCCCCTTTTCATCTTAGTCTTACACTACACACATAAGAGAGTCCGGTGCCTCTTTAGATTTTTCAGCGTTTTCTTTTTTTGTTGTGTAACTATCTCCAATTCAATAAGTTTTAGAAAGCATTCCACCAGAATAAATTGAAAAGCAGATCATTTAGTCTAAGAACAAATAACTCAAAAAAAGTGATCAACTCAGCTATACTTAAGGCATTCAAGATATAAAAGACATCAGAAAGTTCCTAAAATTGCTTACTAATAACTGTTATGCATATAAGAATGATGAAGATGACACGAAAGCGTTTACATTACTTCAATTGTAGACTTTGTAGTCCATATGATAAGAGCTTAAGCAAACAGGCGACAAGTATTTATAAGGGAAAAAAAAAACAAAAAAACAATAATACATCAAACGATCATGATTATGCCTATTTAAACGGAAATAGACTATGGAAATTTATATGCTATGTTACCCAATCGTGGAATGCTCTAATGCCATTTAAGAGACCAAAAGGTCCACCAACATGTGTTCGACACTATTTTGGCTAATTAAATTCGAGTTTTCTAGTGTTTCTCCCAGCAAATAGACCTAGTTGTGGCCGTGGAAGGCACGAAATCAAAGCTAACCTATCCAAGCAATTACACTATACCTCAAATTCAAAGAGGAATTGGAGATCCGTAAAACGTATGAACTAATTCCGAAAAAAAAAAAATCCATATGACACCATCGGGCGTTCCATTCAAAGTTATCTAGATGACAGTTCTAGATGCTATTCAAATACTAAGATTATCTGTCGACTACAATGAATTTGTTTCAATATTATCTCACCTGCAATATTTCCCATTATATTATTAGTAAAATTAATGCTATTAATAACCATGATATTGCAGATCTCACTCAACTCAATAACCTCAATTGACATGCCATGCTTTTAGCAGTTTCAACATCAATTATCATCCTCTAAATACGCAGTCTATCAACTTCAGTACTTTTTCATAGCTAGATCTTCATCAACAAACGCATAATACCCGCTATGTAGTTTCATCGGAAAAGCACTATTCCAAATATCAACGATCCACACAAAATCCACTCTCTAAGATCACTGATACACTAAAAATCAGACTTTATAAGAAACAATCGTCACAATCCCATACAGATCACAACCATAAACAACCAAATCAAGCCAAAAACGAATCAGATCTAATGCCAGAAGGATCCGAATCACCTCAGTCATAAACAGAAAGCAAGAAGAAGCTAAACAACAGAGACCACGGATATCATTAACATACCAGCAAGTAGAAGCCCTAACAAAACCCAATCACGAATCGATCGCCCCATCGTTCAAATCGTAGCAGCTCGCAATATCTTTTTCTCTCTCTATCTTCGAAAAAATACACTATCACCATTTTATATATAAAGGTCTGATCAGCCAAGAGAGAGGACGATCGGTTTCCTGAGCGATCGAACGTCATAGTGATGACGTGGACCAATGAGATTTGGAGTTCTGGACTTATTGGCCAATGGTAGTGGACATGTCGTTGGGAGGATCTTGGCCGTCCGATAAGAGATTGGACGATGAGATTGATTGTCACGTTATTGAACTACAGAGCCTTCGCCCTGGAATCAGACGGTCTAAAATGCGCATGGAGAGATCAAACGGTCCTACATGCTTGTTTTGATTATTATGACGTGTCCGTTTTTGCTGAGCCCATATTATCGGATCTGAAATAATTTCGTGTTGAAACGGTTCACTAATTAGTTTGGTTAATATTTCAGTTAAAAAAAAATAAAAAGATGAGTGCATCAACAAAATAAAATTATTATAAATTTTAAGAATGTAAGAATGTATTTAAAATAAATTTAATGCATAATTTGATTAATTCTTCATATCAAAATAATTTTAAAATTTTAAAATCAATTTTCATCTATTTTTTCTCGTTTCAATTTTATCCACTAAAAAATTAACCAAATCAAACTTTGTCAAAAAGTGAAACAAAGTGATAATTTTTCTTAAAAATTGTACATTTTGTCAAAATTGAACTTTTTTAAAAAATATAAATTATGAACTGTATTGAGGTTTCGTTTGAGACAGTTTTTTTATTGTTTTATAAAATAGATTTTTAATATTAAAAATTTTTTATTTAAAAAATTTAGTATAAAATAGGAAAAAAAATTTCTCAAACAAAGCCTATGTCTACAAGTCTATCTAGTCCATAGAATCATAATCTTAAATATAATGGAGAAATTATATTCTCTTATGATTGTAAAACTCTGAACAATTGTTTGATATTTTTTCTTTTGTTTAACTTGTTGAAGAAAATAAAATGAATTAAAAATATTAATTAAAATATTTTAAATTTGATCATAAATATTCCTCATCCTCATGAATTGAAATGAGCATCTTGGTAAGATGATCAGAAAAATTCGTCAATCTCTTTAAATTGTGTTCATTTAAAGGCAATAAAATAAAATAAAATAAAATATGACATCATTGTATCACCCCCATAATTTTTTCTTTCTTTCTTCATGGAAATCACATATACACGTACGGGAAATTATTAAGTGAGGAGTCTGGACATAGCTTGCATCCATACTCCAATAAAACACGGCCACACGTCAATACACATATTGCGTACAACTTTGCACACAATGTGTGTATAATACACACACTGTGTATTGACGATGTGACCAATTTTCATTAGAGTGCGGATGTCGTTCGGACTCCGAACGTTATGTACACATCTCTTGTCGTTGATGGTGATTGTCGTCATTATCAATCGTTCAGTTTGTGCATAGTTCATCGGAGAAATTTTATAGATTAAATTTCATGCAAATAATTGTGAACTCTACGTACAATAAAATTATGAGTTGTTTACACTATTACATTAATTTAAAAGAAAATATTTTCTCATAGAAATGTGATCACAATGCCTTCTTAAAATTATTGTATCTCTCATAGGTGTTGGATTCTTGAACTTTTAGTATTGTTGGGTTGTTTTAGTAAAGGCAAACAAGTTCAAAAAAAGTTTGTGCTTAATTGTCTTATTTACCAATGATGATAGAATTTGGCCTAAGGTCCAAGTTGGGACATGGATAAACTAATTGTTGAATTTTTTATCAATCAAATCTATTACAATTATGGCATGCAAACCCTTCAACATGTTTGCCTTATGTGCATCAATTAGAAATATTATCTTTGATTGCCACCATTATATACCTTATCTAGAGCATTTTTCAATATTGGTGTCTTGGTAAAATTGTGGTATGGGCAAAGCTATCACTTAGTCCTATAATGGGACTATTTGGTATATGTTACTTGGTAATAAGGAAAGTAAAAAATCAAGAAAAATATATGATTAGCTCTCAAAGTTTATAAATAAGCTTTAAAAAAATTTCATATTTTTATCATTTATTGCTTAGTGATCACCATCTTGTACCACTCAATGGCCAGCATCTCATATCATAACTTATATCATTGAAATATTGAATGCTTATCAATGATTATTACCCAACATCTTTTGATGTCCAACTTTAGATGCTAATCATTGTCCCTTTAGAATTAAAAAATATTTGTTAATTTATGTCTAATGAATTCACAATCAAATAATGTAGGTTAATGTCATGCACTAGATGTATTCATCGTATATGAACATTATTAACCAACACTTGCCATCTTTCATTGAGTTCACTTGACTGGTTGACCATGAAGACATGCATCAATTTATGTTATGAAATCTTGGGAGGAAGCTTGAGCTTTCTTGCAAGAGAGGGAGAGAGGGAGAGGGAGAGGGAGGAAAGGAAGAGAGCTAATATGAATTCCAAATTCAGTTATTCAATAGGGCTTATTACAAGGGACACATATTGCAACATCTTACACATCTTATATATATGATTAGATATTATTGTGGTATCTTGCGGAACATCATAAGTAAAATACTAAAATCAGACCAAAAAATTACAATATCACTAACTAATTGATGAGAATTATCAGAAAATAATAAACGATGGTTGACGGGGTATTTCAATGTTATATAATAAAGGGTTTTCATCTTTGTGTTTTTTTTTTTTTTTTCATACAAAAAAAGGAGGACAAGGTAATCTACAAAACAAATGCCATAGATCAATAGTTGGCAAGTATCAAACATTAGTAATTGGAAGATGTCAAATAATGATAATTTGTGAAAGTTGGGTAATGGTCGGAAGTCAACAGTGTCATTTTCCATATATTAGAAGAGAGGGAGTGATCAAGGAGGAATATGTCAAATGTTTGGGTGGTTTGACAAATATTATTAATTGGTTGTTGGCATGTATTAGACGATGATCAATTCAGTAAGTTGAAGTTGGGTGATAGAAGTTTTGACCTAATTCTTTTTTTAAAGAAGTTAACTTGGCTTGATCTTGGTAGATTTAACCTAAGTTGTACTTCAAGTCCTCATAAGATGAAGTCCACAACCGATACTCCTATTTTATTAGTCAAATGCGACTAAAAAAAGAACTATATTAAAATTTGTGAGGTAGATGATCATAATTGTTGAGATGCATACGAACGTAAAAAATATTTTTACAACAAGAGTGAAAATAAAAATAAATTTATAGCATAAACATCTTTAATAATATATATATACAACTATTAGTATTTTAGATTAAAATTTAGCCTTAAATATTCCACCATCCTAAAAGAGACATTACATCTATAAAAAATAGATATTAAAAGAGAAAATTATTGAAATGTTATTTATTTGATTATAGTTCTTATTTAAAGTTTTGTAAAATTTAAACGTGACAAGCCTATTAATTTTATGATGACAATTCTTTTAAATTTTGGGCTTTTAGGTGTAGAACATTTTATATGGGCTTTTCTTATTGGGCTTGTAGAGAGAGAGAGAGAGCATAGCATATTAGCATATATTGGGTAAGCTTTATCTACTACTTTGTGAGAATGGCATAAATTATTTTTCTTAAACTATAAAAAAGGTCAAATATATCGTGAAAGAAAGCCACTTTAATTGAGCCAATCTTTTTTAGGCCCGTAAAAGTTCTAATATATTGGGCTTTGTTGCTGGTGATTTAGGCTTCTTTGGAATATTTTTTTTTTTCTAAAATAAAATTTTAATATAAAAATTTAAGTTAAAAATTTTTTTTACTAAAAAGCTGTTTTAGAATTTTAAAAGCAATAATAAATCTGTTCCTAGTAGAAAAAAAAAATTATTTCAAGAATTTTTTATACTTAAAAGTTGCTTTAAAAAACATAAAAAGAGTTGTCCCAAATGAAGCCGTAAATTGAACTCAAAACTAAGGCTTGGTTTAAGACAACTTTCTTACCGCCTCTTAAAGCAACTTTTTTGTATAAAAATTTGCTTTAAGAAAAAATAAGAAAGCCGTCCCAACCTAAACCTAAATTAAATAAAAAAGTCATTAGGAGGTGTGAATCCATATCTTTTCAATTGATATCATCATTATAATTTTTTAAATATAATAAATTTTATCTTTTTTAAACTATATTTCAATTAAGGCATGCATTGATTTGAAGTGAATTTTGAGAGAAACTTTTTTCTTTGGTTTTGAGCAAATTATGGACTTTTTGAGTTTTTGGCTGCTTTTGCGTTAGAAAAAGCTATCAATAAAATAAAATAAAATATCTTTGCATGGATGACATCATATTTTTTTGAATCGTAAACTACACACACCTCATATGCATTGTGTGAAAGAGGAAAGTAGTTTCATTAGGAATTTTGAATTTGAAATTTTATTGAATTACATTCTAATAAAATTTATTTCAAATTTAATTGGTTTATATGCATTTTTTTTATATTAGAAAAACGTGTCACTAAGTTGTGTTTTTGAAGCTCTATCCTATAAAGAACATGCACCTAAGTCTATGTTTTCTAAGACTCGGTCCTATATTTTTGTCCTTAGATGTCACTAGTGTTGTAGGATTGAAGGGTGTTCTTTAATTCTTCTTGCTTCCTAAGACTTCTATACGGATGTCACAAGTTTTAGGGATCTAACAGAAAATAAAAAAATCCTAAATATAAATGAAGTTCTAAGGCCCTAAGTGGAAGCGCACAATCATCTAGGCCCCTAAAGGTTTTCTAAGTTTTAGTAAACTAAGCACCGGGGGCTACGACCCGGTGGTTCCGCCCGAGCATCCCTACTAGATGAGTAGGGACGACTGATGTTCGGATGCCGGTTGTCCTAGCTCCAGCTCCAATGCTCCTTATCCATTGCTTTCCAAAAAGTACCTCGCAGCACATAGAGAAGAGAGGTATTAGAGCAGTTCTATAAATAAAAAACAGT